CCCACCCCCCCACCCCTTTTCCCTTAGCTTGCGGCTCCGTTCAAAGTTTTCTTCCTGCGATAAGGAGGCCGCCGTGGCCCTAGACTTTCCCCCTTGCAGTCAGCCTAGCCGGCTGCATCTCTTTTGACTGAATGGAGATGAAGTTGTTACGTGTGACGACATCTTGTTCGCTTTCAGAATAATTTTGTTCACTTCTGAAATGCTCTTGTCCCTCGCCTTCTTGCTGCTATAAAAAGTTGGGTTTTGTTTTGTTGTGTTTTGGTGGTTTTTTTCCCTAGAAATTCACTGATCGTATTCTGAAGTGATCGAGTTGTGTGGTGTTCCTCGTGTTTTAGTGCACTTTAAAGTCGCCTTAAGGGTCTCTCTTAGAGGAGGGAGGGTACACGCTCACCACTTTGTCAGCCGACAGGTGCTAATGTGCTAAATAAACCACCTAAGACTGGTATAAATTACTCTGGAGCTGTTGCCAGGATACACACACTACTTGCATACACAAGATAAAGTCCCTGGGTTTATAGTATCTAGATGATTCACTTCTGAAGGACAGTTGAAGGAAATAACAGCAAACAGCCCACGTGGCTTCTATGAGCAAAAACATTTTTATGCTGGGCAGCATGTTACCTGATGCAAATTTGTATAGGTTTGCTAAAGGGCCTTTAAACAAGCTAATTGTCGCACTAGGTTTCAGGAGAAAACACAGTGCTACAGAGGATTTTGGTCTAAATCAGAAAAGAAAAATATATTTTAATATGGATATTTATGTTGAATTTTGTCTTAACTGGCTTATTTTAGGGAATTATGTTTAAAGAAGATGGTTCTCCTGGACTTTCTGTAAGATACGAATTAAGTTGAGGATATGTTGGCTGGCGCGTGGGTGGTTGATTGTAAGAGGTGATGGAGATGTTTGTTTTGTTAAACTCAGTAAATATATCTTCCTGCCTTTTTCAGGTTCACTACTGTTAGAATCGAAGATAAATCCAAATACTGCATATCAAAAACAGCAGGCAAGTACTATTGCTAGGTGCTTCTTTTTTTTTCTGATTATTGATGCTGAGGAATTGTTTTATGCTCAAACTAATTGCATTTTTCAGGAAAAAAAGCAAAGCGGCATGGAATTGACAATGGTGTTTTTCACAGAGGGGAAAAAACTTTCTTAGAAGCCCATGGGTGCTATAGTACTTCACGTTCTAAAAATTAAAACGTGGGTCTCTTAAAAAAAACCCTTTTGGACTTCAGGCTTTGAAGAGAATATATGCTATTTGGATAAATATTGAATTCGTAACAGGAAAAATAGTTAGAAAAATATATATGTGTAACTTCGGTCTCCCATCCCAGGCTTTATGAAATAATTACTGAATTAGGAAGGAAAAACTTTGTGTGGCTCTGTTATAGCATATTTACTTCTTGAGTTCTTTCTCTGGAAATAACACAAAGAAACTTGTCTTTGTGGGACTTTTTATTGTTGCTGTTTAGTTTTTTTGTTTTGTTTTAAGCCTTGAAAACTTCTTCTCTCCTAAGTAAAGGGACTAGCCATGGTGAGACTTACTTGCATGGTTGCGTTTCCTGGGGGTGAGCCTTCTGCAAAACAAAGAAGTAAAACAGTTGGGAGCTGTGTTAATAGGTTGTTTTTGTTTAATCTACTAAAAAAATAGCTTACTAAATCTCTTTTGCTTTTATTGCTTTTTCCGTTTTCTGCATTAATTTTTGGTGTCTCTGCCTACATTGTGCTAATAGTTATTACTGGGGGTTTTCTGTCTGTTCCTTTGTTCTACAGTAGGTTTTCTGTTCCCTTTGTTCAGTGTTTTATACTGCTCTTCATCATTATGGTATCAAGAAGTGTTTCAGTAACTTTGTTCTTCCTAAACCATGAAGAGACAAATCTTCAAGGATTTTCTTTGTTTTGATTTTTTTTTTTTTTCCCCCCAATGGAAAGGTGGCAAGTTATGTTATGAGAATTTGAGGAGACGCTTTTGAGCACGGGTTGGCTGACTTTAGCTTAGGAGTGAGGCAGAGTCTCGGGCCTAGCTTTTCAGAAAGCTCATTAGATATTGGTGGTTTTAGTCAGGTGGATGATGGTAGGCTTTCTTTGGGCGGGCCATGCTGAGGAAGGAGGATGGTCTTTCTGGAGCTCTGCAGGATTCTGAAAGAGCCTTGAACTGCTTCCTGTTTAGCAGAGGAAATAATTACATAATGAAATACAAATGCAGATTACATTGTTGCAAAGTTTTAAATTGCTTCCTTTTGCAGCCTGTTTTCTAAAACTTCAAACAACTGATTATTTGAAAGCCTTCTTTACTTAATTGGTAGCAAAATTTCAAGTGACTTAAGTAGCTTTTGATGTCATTTTTCTTGTGGAAGTCTTTGTAGGTTGTAGTTTTGAAAGACTCGGGCTTATTTTGTTTGGCTTTTATTACTGATTCTAATGCTTTTGTGTCCTTGTGGCTGAAAGTGTTTGCTTCACTGTTCACTCTTTCGAAGAAGTTTGGGTTGGGTTCTTTTTTTGTGGTGGTGGTGTTTTTTAAGGAGAGTAATGATTGATGATTACCCGAGACAGGTTCTAGGTTTGTCTAACCTCTGAAAGTATACAGCTTTTAGTTGATGGAGCTTTTGTCCTCAAGTTTTACGTGTTTCCTTCTGAGTAGCGGAGCAAAAAGCAGACCTTAATGTAGCATTCCTGTGCTTTTCAATTTGTGAGATTTCAGTCTCGCCTTTAAAAGATTGTAGTATTCAAACCTGGGCATCTCAGGAGCAGATCCTTTTTAAAAATGGTGGAAAGATTTAGGCAAAATATTTTTTGGTTACGAAGAGATGAACAGAGGTGGGCTTTCCTCAGTGTCCCTACTTGAGCGTTGAAGTCTGTTGTGTAGGTAGCCTGAAGACTCAGGGGCTGTACTGATCTGCCCAGGGCAGATGCTGGTAGGTGGATAGCAGCGTGGAGGAGAGTGATCTTTTCCACTTGCCAGAGTTCAGTTGCAGATTTTCATTAAGGTGCTGCTCACCTTGGGTTTGGGGAAAGCCGCAAGGTGGTGTAGCTTGATGGAAAGGAAACATGCTCTGCCTACACATCTGTCTTCATAGAAATTACTTGAATGGACTTACAGAATAGCAGTCAATGAAATTGTGGCTTGCATACCATCATTCTGCAGAAAAATCCCACCCTGATTTTTAGTTGCTGTGCATCAGTCTATGATACTCAGTATTACACTGTTTGTGCTAAGTAGTGCTATAACGATTGACTAACCATAAGCAGGGCAGGCCTGCTAGCTGCCTTCTCAAATCATGTTTGTGGTCACAACCTTTTGTGCAGAACTGAATTCTGTGAAGGTGTTAGGCATACTATAATCATGAGCTCTTTCTCAAGAGAAACAGGACATAGGTGCAAGGCTGCTCAGCATACAACAGAAAAGAATCTCTAATTCCTTGTATGCAAAGAACATGAGAGCCTGAAGAGCTTTAGATCCCCCTGGATTTTGGGGCACAGGCTTTGAGAGTTACATACCTCCACTGGACTCCTCATATTGGCCAAAGGGCAGGGTCGGATGTGTCGTGGAGGCTCTAGCAGGAGCAGTTTAAAAAGTTGTTACCACACCCACGTGTTGTTCCACCCTCTGCTTGAGGTTACTGTTCCCTGGGAAAACAGGCAGAAGAGCATGTCTTCAGTGAGAAATCAGATGGATGTGTTCCTGTGATTTGTTCCTTCAGCCCAGTTACAAGGGTGGTGATTTTCAGTTGGGTGACTGTACAACCTCAAACTGCTACAGAAATCCTCACTGTGAACACTGCCTTCTGATGTTAACTCTGCTTTAGATGTGCTCTATCCATTTTCAGATCTGAGCTGAAGAATGTGTGTGAATACTGTCTTTTGCGCAGAGTTGCCATCGCTCATGTGACAACAGAGCAATTTGCTTCAGGCAGAATTGGAGTTAGTTGGGGCTGGGATTTAACACATTTCCAGGGGGATGTTAAAGCCAACCTGAGCAGTTGCCAGGGGGCTTCTTCACTCCTCTTTCACACCAGCATGAGTTTTCATGTTACTGTATGATGTAGGTTAGATGTAGGAAGCAATTCAGTTGAAATACCTCTTTTTGCTGGATTAATTTTTATTGGCATGTGTTCCCCTGTCTGGCTTGCTGTACAGCACGCTTCTGCTGGCATACGGCGGTTGGGGGTCCAGTGCAGGAACAACGAGAGGTGGAGGGGCAGACATTGTATGAACCAGTACCGGCACTGAAGAGGGCTTTGAACTACCCTCTTAGTTGTTCTGAATTAATCTCTTCTGTTGTTTGTCTTTATATTGTGTTTGAGTGAATTAAGGATCATTGCTGTTGCTCGTCAAAGGAGCAGCATTGTGGGTGAGAGCGGTAGTAGTCTCTTGTAGCAGCTAGGCCTGGAAGATGTCTCTCTGTGGTTTTCATGGGTTGTCTTAGGTCATGCAGGAAGTGTTCGCCAGATGAGTAGATTTGATATTCGTATTGGACAATTATTTTCTGGTGAAGCTCTCTTGTAGTCTTTCAGAATATTTTTGGAGAAACTTACATAACTTCTGCTTTGTGTGGGCAGTACAGATTGAAATGAGTACCATTCAGTAACTCAAGAATTCTCACAAAATTTTTGAATGCTGTCTCTATGGATGCACGTGGTCGTTTACATTACTGCACTATATCTCTCGCTTGAATCATTCTGGACTATGAATAGGAATTCTTCATGCATGTGTCCTTCTTTGTTCCCTGAGGCACCTCCGAGTCTCAGCTTACCTGGAGGTGTGTTGATTTGGAGTGTCAGGGTGTCTGTGAGTTCACAGAACATCTCAACATAAACATTTCAGATTTTGAGTTCCGTAACAGCCATAAAATTGTACTTAAGAATTCTTACTTTTTTTATCAGTCTCTAAAAGAGAACCAGATCAGGGAGCTGATCAGACTTTTCAGTGCCTGCAGTTGGCACTTATTATTTTTCTCTTGAAGCCCAGTTCAACTGCTCACTCTAAAATGGTACACTGTAAACAGAGATTCAGCTGTCTGTGGGCTGGAGATGAGGGTGGACAGCTGTAAGCAAAACCCCTGTCAACTGTATGACGCTGTACCATTTGTGCACGTGAATCAGAGCCCAAAAGCAGGGAGACTACCTATTAATATTTGTGACAGTAGGACAATACTGCAAGTGTAGTATAGGGAACTGTGGTATAAACAGCATTAAAACCATAGTGCAATGACCTCAGTTCTTTCCAGAATGGGAGAACTTTGTTTCTTTAAGCAATGTGTAAAAATGAGAAATAAAAGAAAAATTGAGTTTGTGTGAATGCTGTTGTTTTCAGTGTGGCCTGTGATTATGTTTTGGGAGAAGGAAGCTGACCTATTGGTCAGCATTTGTCAACAGTGTTGCTGGAAGAAAAGGTATCATAGATGTTAAGACGTTAAGCTAAGCTTTAAAAAAAAAAAAAAGCAAAGGCAAAACCCTTAAAACATGCAACTACATATGAATATTGAGGGATTGAGATTACTGTAGAAATGAACTGAAGAATTAATGCCGTATCGGCGATGCTGATTTTCATTCGTGTTCCAGAGTGATAATTGTAGCAGCTGGTAAGTTGTGTTTGTTGAGACAGACGTGTGTTTTTCAGATAGCTGTGCTGATGGAAGAGTTTACCTACTGTCCCATGCCAGCTGCTTGTCAGCAGTCCTGTCCCAAACACTAGTTTCCTCACATCTACCAGTGGAAATACTTATGAGTGCTCCTTTTGTGTTAACAAAGGTCTGTTTAAATCATCTAAACTAACCTGATTTTGATCAAAAATGAATAAGGACTGCTGACTGACAGTAGGTTCAAGAGTAGCAATGATTTTGTCCCTCTGTCTTTGGCGGATACAGGGGGGGGTGTGACTGAATAGTCGTATGATACCATGTCATGTCATGGCTTGGCTTTTTAGCGTAGTGAACACCTTACAGATAGTAATCAATCGGCTTCATCGTTTCCTGTCGCTTGGTACACAAAGGGAACCAAGAAGTACTTTTGGTGTGAAGATATGAGGGGGCAATGGCAGCATCTGTTTCTTCGTTAAGTATGTTGGGCATCTGTAAGACAGTCAGATACTTGTTTGAGTTCAGTTGCTAAGCTTGAAGATACCACTTTGAATGTTTTGTGTACCATAAAAGTGATGCATAAGGTAAAGACGTACAAGCCTTGATAAGTTGTGCAGTGATTACTGACCTTTGTAAATGCAGAAAGTAAATTACCTTATTGACCATTAAGCAAGGGCTTGGTGGTGTTTTAAAAAAAAAAAAAAAAAAAAAAGGGGAGAGGTAACAGTTCCAGAAGGTCAATGAACTTGGCAGAATGTTGAACTCTTTTGCTGGAGCTTATCAAGTGTACTGTAAAGTTAGCAGAGAGCTGTTCAGTTTGAACATTTTACATAAAGATGAGGTTAATGTATGCTGAACTGTGTACTTGAATGTCAAAGCACAGGCTTACGTTCCTTACACTACAGCAGCAAGTGTCCTAATCAAACCTCATAAAAATACATTTCTAGTCTGTTTGGAAATTCCAGTGAATCTTCCAGATACACTGTGCAAGTGCACAAATTGAATTGATAGAGGCAATAGTAGCAGAGGGGAAAAAAAAAAAAACAACCTGCTCAAGTGAAAATGTGGAAAATGTGTTGGCAAGATGTTTGTAACTTCAGTAAGGACTTAGGAGTTTTCTATTATTCAGGCTGTTACGTCTTTTAATTCAGAAAAGAATATTTTAACATTAGTTAAGCATGATTTTTCACATTGCTAAGGCTGTATTAAGCCCTTTCTGAGGAGGAAACACTGTAATCTTGGTTGTTTGTTTCTATTTCATTAAATATGAAAATACTTATATTGTAGGTTTTCTTAATCTCCTACAATGTATGCATTCCCTTTTCGAGACTGTTTGCTCAGAAGTATCTTGCAGAAAAATGCCATGATATGTATTTTGCATATGAAAAACAGTATATTTAAATACATAATATGTAAAGTGGTGGTCATAAAACAGCAAAAAAAGAAAGATAATATCCCTTGTGGCAGAACAGGTGATTTAATATTTTAGTGTCTTATGTTCTTTTTTGACAAGTGTAACTTTAAAATTATTTGTTCTTTAGACATGTGACTTAATGGAATACGTATTACTATGCGGTGTAGACCTGTTTCAGAAACAATGTTTTGGTTTTGTCTTAAACAGGACACCCTGATTGTTTGGTCAGAAGCAGAAAACTACGATTTAGCACTGAGTTTTCAAGAAAAAGCTGGCTGTGATGAAATTTGGGAAAAAATCTGCCAGGTACAGTTAACTAATTATTCCGTTTCTTCCAGATGTTTTAGTGTCTTCTATAACTTCATGTATTTGTGCTGTAATTTTTAAACCTACTTGTAAAATAAATACATGTGTCATTATTTTCTGTGGCTTTTCTGTGTAAGATCTTAAGTTGCCACTATTTAGAACACTAGTTGTTTTCGTAATTGAATTCCACACTTTTGAAAAATCAATGTAATGACGAAACTCAGGTGTCAGGCATTTTAGGGGTCAGTTGTTTGTATCAAAAAGGGGAATAGCGGAGTACCACGTTTTAATTGTCCTTCTCCCTGGCAGCCTTAGGAAGCTGTCTTGTTGGCGTGTGGTGGGACTGAGGATGTGTTGGAATGCATAAGGAGCTAGATAGTTCGCTGTGAGAGACGCAGAGGTGGCCTTGCTATGTGAGCTCAAAAATGTCAGCGATATTTTTGTCATCATACCTGGGTTTTTTTGAATATCTGCGTCTTACGGGTATTTTGATCCTCATTGTTTTATTACAAATCACTTTAGATTTTATACGTTCAACTCTGGAAGTAACAAGTCAATGGAGTTGCACCTGTGTGTACTTAAAAGAAGAAACCTGGGGTTTCATACTTGGAATTTATCACAACCTTCTCGGATTTTGAAATGATGCCACGTAAAGCTGTTAACTAAAGAAACAGAACTCAAATTTCCTAGCAGTTTTCTTTGAACTAGCTAGGCAATGTAGATGCATTCCTAATCTTAGCACGTGTGGGGGTATAATGTCTTCTCAGCAAGTTCTGAAGTACTGTTGTTGAAAGGAACCAATCCTAGTAACTGCAAGTATATGCATTTAATAAATAGCCTGGGTTTTAGGTTGGTTCTAAATTAGGGCTGAGCTGACAACCAGTCTGAGAGGGAGGTCTTCATGTCATCAGACAATATAAACCTTTAGCCTTAGGCTCTTTCATCAGATTCCAGAACTCTTCCTGCGTAACGTGATCCTTTGTGATGCTCTTAGGGTGTGTTGATTTGATTTTTTGACAAACATACTGTGGAGGATAACGGTAGTGACTGTAGAATTTAGAGGCAGCAAACTTAGACCTCTGCAGGGCTAGACGTTTTCCAAGCAACTGAAGGTATAAAGGTGTTTACTACGCACATGTTATTTAAGTTATTGACCTGATTATTTTTATGTATGTTTTGGGATGAGACAGTAATTGTGTGCACTCTGTTCTTAGGTTCAAGGTAAGGATCCTTCAGTGGAAGTCACCCAGGACCTTATTGAGTCAGAAGAGGAACACATAGAAGAAATGCCTGAAACTAGTCCTTTGATTGACCTTCCTACTTGTGAACTCAACAAACTTGAAGAGATTGCTGACCTAGTTACCTCTGTTCTCTCCTCACCCATCCGTAGAGAAAAGCTAGCGCTGGCCTTGGAGAATGAAGGCTATATTAAAAAACTACTACAGCTTTTCCAAGTCTGTGAGAATTTAGAGAACACCGAAGGCTTACATCATTTGTATGAAATTATTAGAGGAATTTTGTTCCTCAACAAAGCAACTCTGTTTGAGGTGATGTTTTCTGATGAGTGTATTATGGATGTTGTTGGATGCCTTGAGTATGATCCTTCTTTGGCTCAGCCAAAACGGCACAGGGAGTTCTTGACCAAAACAGCAAAATTTAAGGAGGTTATTCCTATAACAGACTCTGAACTCAGGCAAAAAATCCACCAGACTTACAGGGTACAGTATATTCAGGACATCATCTTGCCGACACCATCTGTTTTTGAAGAGAATTTTCTTTCTACCCTCACTTCCTTTATTTTCTTCAACAAAGTTGAGATTGTCAGTATGTTGCAGGTAAGTGCTTTTTAATACGGCATAGATGGATTATGTATAGATACCTCTAGCTGTAGTTTCGAAATTGATTCCGGCTCCTTAAGACTATGTAAGTTAATCATACATGCTTTCATTTACATAATGTTTTGAATGCTTCCACTTGTTTCTGATACCTTTTGTTTCTTATTTTAAAAATTACAGATTTCAGGTGTGTATTTTACTTTTTTTAATGGGTTGTAAACAGTTAAAGGTTCATCTTGATTGACAAGCAACATAAACATTTTGAGCTGGTTTTGTATAGACGTTTAGGGAACAAGCAACTTTTTGTATTATACATCAGGGACATTTGTGACATCTTCATAACAAATTCTGAATCGGTGGTTCAAAAGAGCATGTTCAGAACCGTTCCTGTTATACTTCTGTTACTTTATGGTACTAATTTCAAATGTTCTTGTTGCAGTATAAAGTAATTCTTTTTCTTTTTTCTTCATACTGATACACAAAAGTAATAATTGACCAACATGTTACCATGTCAAAAGACTTACTGAATACTTTGTAGTCAGGAGCAGGCTTAAAAGTAGTTGAGTGTGACACCCAAGCTGGACTGTGGAAGGAGCCTTGGTGAAGAGCTGTGTGTGAACTTCATGACATTTGGAGTATTTTCAGATTTTCAGTTCATATTTTGTTGTGCAAACGAATGGATACCAAAGTGGTTTTATTCTGTTTCTGATATACATCCTTAGAAAAATGGTACGTTTGTGTAGAATAGAACATCAGAAACCTGTTGGTTTGTTTTGAGTGTGGATAGTCTCTGTGAAATAGGAAGATGTGTCAAGTTGAAGGAGAGAGCAGTAAAATTGTGGGAGGAGAGAGGCACTGGGGAGGTAACATTGCCATAAGGAAGATTTCTAAAGAATGCAATAGATAACAGGGAAAAATCAGAACTATGGAACTGCATGGATAAGCTTTTGGACTTCTTTCTAGTTTGATTAAATAGCAGGAAGAAACTAAAAAGTAAATCCCATTTGCAAAGTTAATGGCTTTATATTAAATAAATCTTTCTCTTTTTTATTCTTTTCCATATATTACTTTTCTAAAACTAAATTAAATTCAGTATCGTTCTCCTGAGGCCGCAGTCCGGCTTCCATTTAGAGGTTTTTAACTTTGTAAACGTCTTGGTTTTTTCATTTAAGTTTTACTGTACTGAATGTTTAATTGTGCCTTAACAGAAAACTTACGATTTGCTGTTACCTCTGGTACTCTTTTGCTACTCTCAGTCACTGCCATCTTTGCTGCAGTAGAGAGAGTATGTGGCACATTAGGTTTGCCTATCTGTTTTAAATACTGTAATTGAGACATGCATGTTGATTTACAAATAATGTTGATGTTATATGTCATTTGAGCTGCCTTGAGAGTTACAAACTACGAAGAAAGCACACATGGAAAAGATGTTACTGATAGCACGCTTGAGGAAAATTACATGGTAGTGTGGACCTCAGGTTCAGGACTGTGTTTTCAGTCCCCTGGTGTAAATCAGCTTTTTGTTGTGGCACAAGAACTCTAAAGCTTCTTTGGGTTTGGTGAACACATTAGAAGTCTTGTTACCCTAAGTACACCGGCAAAGCTCCCTAGGAGAATGCAGTTTATAGGAGTAACAGATTGTGTTTGCTACGGCAGTAAAGCTCCTTTCTACGTGCTGTGAAGCAGTAGATCCCAGTGCTGCTATTGGTGAAGTGCAGTCACATGGGAAACGGAGCGAGCATGGAAAACAAGCCGAGGTCCTTCCTGTGCTTTAGGACATCAGGACTACACTGTGTGGCAGCCTTATACAAGCAAGAGTTCTTTCTGTTGCCGAGTGTTCTGTAGTAGGGATTTTCTAGTCTATCTGTTGTTGATTGTGGTACGTTTGTGTTGTGGTTTTTTGGGGTTTTTTTTTAACAGGCTTAATTAAGGTGTTAAAGCCAGCAAAGCTTAGAATAAGCTACTAAGTCTGTGTGTGTTGCACTATCTCTGATGTTGATTCCAGGTATCATTTGTATGTAAAGCACTTCTCTTCCCATGTCTTA